TTGGCTGACTTGTTTTGCCAAGTTCAACATAGAACAACTTGCGCCCTTTTATTTGTGGCCAGAAAGAAAAACACGGAAGACGAAGGTCGGTTGAAAAGTTATATTGAAGATATATATACAAAACAATAGTGTTAGTAATAAGTAGATTAGCACTGTGTCTACTAGTCCACTTCATTTTATCCGTCTCTCGCAGTTTCTATTTATGAGAGAAGGAAAAGTTCATTCTACTGTAAGAGGGTTTACCACAACAATTATCGACTGTGTTTGTCGAAGTTTAGGCTTCTATCTGCAAAACGGAACAATATGCGAGTTTTTTTTTTCTCTCTACGAAAGTGATTTTGTAGCAGGGAAAACACATTCTCAAGGTGAAAATGATTTTAGCTTTTTATTAGACATTTTGTTTGTTTGTTTTTTTTTTGTTTTTTTTGTTTTTTCATCAATTAAAAAAAAAACTCTGATTTGGGTGGGAAGCAAATTTAATGCGCCTTTCTCTTTTAAATAAAAGAAAAAAAAGCTTTGTCGCAATCAAAACTATTCGCGCTATATTTTAAGTTTCTTTCTTGTTGATGCAATTTTCTCCCGCTATTATTTTTTTTCTGAGAAAACACAATCATAAAAGAAAAGATAGAGATAAATAAAAGAAGAAATAATAAGGAAGAGGGAGACAAGGGATGGGAGAAAAAGAGGGAGAAAACAAAAATGTGGGTGGGATTTATAGAATAGGGTGATAAAATGAAATTAAAAAAAAAAAAGAGAAAAGAGAAAGAAAGAACACTAGATCAAAGAGTGCACTACTCGCAGCTTCAGCTCAAATTTGAACCCGGTTTGTTGATTCTGTTTTACCAATGCCAAAATAAATTGTGACAACTCACATATCGCATTAATATACACATAGTCAATTATATGAGTTGAAAATAGGGGTTAAATCCAACAGATCTCAAAAATAATCTTCAATATGTTGTTAACTGGGGCAAGAAATGGAATGTTAATTTCAACGCCTCTATACGGCTGATGCTAACCTCCAGAAAAGGGACTCATTGCAGCTTCTGGGGTAAACATTTTTTTTTCTTTTTTCAGCTGACATGAAGTGGAAAGATTGCCGTATATACTCGTGTAACGCGCAATCTCGTGAATCGGGCGACCCCCAGATTTTCACTTTTAAAAAAATGACTACGAAAGGTAGGGTCGTTCGCTATAATATGCGTGGCATGGCGGTTCTTAGCCGTGATGGTTAAGGCTAGTGGAACTAATGAGTGTAACTCATCTGAACACCTTCCATGGAAATAGCGATAGAACAAGGAGGGGTTTGTGATGTTTGTTAGAAAGGTGTTGTAGGGTGGAAAAGAATTCATCACCTACAAGGACGCGGAGACTCTTTTGGGCTCCATCAAGTGGAAAATGAAGATTAGGTAACGCCTGTCCATATCATGCAGCGGTACTCCATTTTAGGTTTGATCTGGCTTTTGTAATAGAAGGAGTGGGGGTCTAATAGATAATAAAAGAAGTGGGGGTCAAATAGGGTGGTCAACGATTGGTTAGAATACTTCGTGGGCGTGGCATTCTAACAGTGACGGGTTGCCTTTTTCTAAGTTTTGCATATATACTTGGGTAACACGCGATATTGAGTATCGTTTGAATGCCAAATTTTCACTTATATAAAATGATTTGTATCTCGTGTATCATGTAACCAGAGTAGAAAGATGTCGAATATGAAAAAAAAAATGCCAATAAATACTAGATAAATAAAAGAGCCATAAAAATCACACCGTTCTATTAAAACCTACACAGAAAACGACTATATATCCTTGTGTAACGCGTGATCTCACGTATCGTACGGCCCCCAAATTTTCACTTCGAGAAAAAAAAAAAATGATTTTATCATGTCTCTTGTGTATTATGCCAGTTCCTTTTTTGAGTGACCAACTTACAATCGACTAACCTCTTTTCCTCTATCTCTTTATCACATCTTCTAGTTAAATAAGTAAAAGAGAATGATATCCAAGTTTACAGCCTCTAGTATTCCCAAGTGGTCACCCATCTTGGTATTAACCAGGCTTGATGTTGCTTAACTTGTGGTTATACAAGAACTAGTGTTTCAATGTGATGTTCGTGTAACCCTAAGTGACAAGAAGAAAGAACAGGTAATTATGCATGTATGTATGTATGACCGACTACTTGTATCCAAGTATGCCTGACTGCTTGGATGGCTAGTTAATCCCAATTGCAGATGCATGCTCAGTCACATTTTTTTTTTTTTCATTGGAGCCAACCAATGGTTTATACTGCAATTATGCTGAAGAGACCTTCGAAACACTGGTCAAGACGGTCAATTCATGATATGGTTTTTAGGTACTTCTCAACAGTACCATCCAATGAGATCAGCTCCCCAGGCCAATATTATCAAGAAGTCATCATTTTGAAAAATTGACCATGGTGAGATTCAAACCTGGCTCTTTTGGGTAGAATGTCAATGTTCTAACCATCCAGCTACATCTCCAGTAAGTCAAACATATAATTCAAAATGTATATATAAGAAATAGTGTATACACTTGCGTAAGGGACAATCTTGTGTATCACGGGAACCCCAAATTTTCACTTATAAAAAATGATTTTATCATGTCTCTTGTGTATCATGTTAGTTCCTTTTTTGAGAGACCAAATTACAATAGACTAACCTCTTTTCCTCTATCTCTTTATCGCATCTTTCTAGTTAAATAAGTTCAAAAAGTAAAAGAGAATGATAAAAGTATCGTTAGTAACACTATACTTGTAGCATAAACGCGTACAGCCATAAACAATCGTACGAGAAACAGCTAAACATCTTATGGACATAAACAATGGAAAAGACGCATATTCGCTATGTTTGTATTTTATAATACGATATTAATATGTGAATATTACATGCATTTAAGTAAAACATCAGTTTTATCAAAATCATGTTTATTTTAAATACAGCTGTACTTTTTGACTACAGCAAATGAATATATAGTTTGGTCAATGACGTAACCAGGGCCAGTAGTACATATGTTAATTTTATATCTCGTGTATAATGCGCCCCACTTAAAATTACCTTCAAAATTAGATCTTCAAAAGTCGCATGATACACGAGTATATACTCTACATATGACAGACCAATTTATAAGAATATTTTTTGGAAATTACTTAAATCCTGTGTACATGATAAAAATTGATAGTATATACAGTGGCCAAGAAATGGGGGTGAGTTTAATACTAAAGAACAATGCAAAACTGATCCCTCACTTTCTATCATCCTTTCATTTGATTACCTGTAAGGATGTTTTGGAATTTCATCTATGAATCTAATATGGCCAAGAAATAGGGGATGTGCTTAACATTAAAGAACAATACAAAATTGATCCCCCACTTTTTTTACCATCCTTTCCTTTGATTATCTATAAATATTTTTTGGTTACCGTATATACTCGCGTATCGTGCAACCTTTGAAGATGTAATTTTGAAGCTAATTTGACTACAGTAAATGAATATATAGTCTTGTCAAGGGTGTAGCCAGGGTCAGTAGTACATACGCTAATTTTATATCTCGTATATTATGCGACCTTCTTAAAATTAGCTTCAAAATTAGGTCTTCAGAAGTTACGTCTATATACGGTATCTCGAATCAATAGCCAGGTCGTTCTGGAGTAAATTTGGTTCATTGCGTCGTGCTAGACAATTATTCTTGCCAGAATTGATCCTATGTCTTTTTAATCAACCATTCGTCGATGCATTAATTATTGACGTCACATCCGGTCTGGTGCTTCTACGACATACTTAGAGATTTTTGATAAAATCCAAAGAAATATCTACCATGTTATTGTTTCCCTTTCATCTCTGATCATCTAAAATGTCAATCGTTATCTTCTGTCTCTTTAATTCCTGTTCTTTTATTTGTTCACGCTCTTAATAATGTTTTTTTCTTTTTCTTAGATACTTTCAAACCTAGTACCCCCCCATTGCGTCTTAGTGGCTTTATTGCCTTGTCTTGAGAGAAACGATTAAAATTTAAATACAATATCAATCGTTATCTTCTGTCTCTTTAATTCCTGTTCTTTTATTGTTCACGCTCTTAATAATGTATTTTTTTCTTTTTCTTAGATTCTTTCACACCCAGTAACCCCCCCCCCATTGCGTCTTAGTGGCTTTATCGCCTTACCTTGAGAGAAACGATTAAAACTTAAATACAATATCAATCGTTATCTTCTGTCTTCTTAATTCCTCTTTGTTTATTGTTCTCTCCCTTAATTATGTTTTTATTTTTCTTAGATTCTTTCAAACCCAGTAACCACCCCCATTACGTCTTAGTGGCTTTATTGCCTTACCTTGAGAGAAACGATTAAAATTTAAATACAATATCAATCGTTATATTCTGTCTCCTTAATTCCTGTTCTTTTATTGTTTACGCTCTTAATAATGTTTTTTTTTCTTTTTCTTAGATTCTTTCAAACCCAGTAACCCCCATTGCGTCTTAGTGGCTTTATTGCCTTACCTTGAGAGAAACGATTAAAATTTAAATACAATATCAATCGTTATCTTTTTTTTAATTTTTCTCTCCCTTAATTATGTTTTTCTTTTTCTTAGATTCTTTAACATTCAATAACCTCTTGCGTCTTAGTGGCTTTATTGCTTTGCCTTGAGAGAAACGATTAAAATTTAAATACAATATCAATCGTTATCTTTTTTTTATTTTTCTCTCCCTTAATTATGTTTTTCTTTTTCTTAGATTCTTTAACATTCAATAACCTCTTGCGTCTTATTTGACTGGAAATCGAAAAGCCAGACGACAGTTCTACATGTGAGAAGTGCGAGAGAAGAAACTGTTAACATAGAACTTACGGTTACATCTGCTGTATGATGTACATTTCTACTGTAAGATGATGAGAACGTAAAATAATTATATACATATGTATGTGTTTCTCTCTGTGTGCGCGCGTGTGTATTTGTGTGTGTACTTCGTGCGTACTCGTTTTTTTTCATCCTATATGAGTTCTTCTTCTTCTTCTTGTTCCTCGCTTTCTCTTACTTCTTCTTCTACTTTTCTTCTTCTTCTTCTTCTCCTCCTCCTCCTCCTTCTTCTTCTTCTTCTTCCTCGCTTTCTCTTACTTCTTCTCCTTCTCCTTCTTCTTTTCTTCTTCTCCTTCTTCTTCTTCTTCTTCTCCTTCTTCTTCTTCTTCTTCTTCTTCTTCCTCGCTTTCTCTTACTTCTTCTTCTTTTCTTCTTCTCCTTCTTCTTCTTCTTATTCCTCGCTTTCTCTTACTTCTTCTTCTACTTTTCTTCTTCTTCTTTTCTTCTTCTCCTTCTTCTTCTTTTTCTTCTTCCTCGCTTTCTCTTACTTCTTCTACTTTTCTTCTTCTTCTTTTCTTCTTCTTCTTCTTTTCTTCTTCTCCTTCCTCTTCTTCTTCTTCTTCTTCCTCGCTTTCTCTTACTTCTTCTTCTACTTTTCTTCTTCTTTTCTTATTCTCCTTCTTCTTCTACTACTACTACTACTACTACTTTTTCTTGTACCTCATTTTCATTTTCTTCTTCATTTACTTTTTCTTCTTTTTCTTCTCCTCCTTCAACTTTTTTGTTTCCCTTTTCTTTTACTTCTTCTTCCTCTTCTTCCTCTTCTTCTTCTTCTTCTACTTTTTTATTCCTCTTTTTCTTTTACTACTACTTCTACTTCTTCTTTTTTCCTTCTTCTTCTTCTTCTGCTTTCTCTTGTTCCTCTTTTTCTTTATACTTCTTCTTGTTCTTCTTTTTCTTCTTCTTCTTACTGCAATTTCTCTTTTACTTTCTTCATCATTTTCACCAACTTTTTCTTTCTCTTCTTCGCTTTTACCCT